GTTCATAATCAACAACAAGGTCTACCAGTATGCGGCCTTACCATTCGGCTTAGCACCGGCTCCATGCACGTTTACAAAGTGCATGGCCCCAGTGGCTGCATTTCTATGTCTACAGGGGGTGAAAGTATGCCCGTACATCAACGATTGGCTCGTAGTGTCGCCATCCAGACAGAAAGCCATTCAGGACACCAAATTCACTCTCCATGCTCTGCAAAGTCTAGGCCTCACCATAAATTTCATGAAATCCACCCTGAAGCCTTCTCGAGTTATGAGTTATATAGGAGCAACCCTGGAATCCAGAAAGGCAAGACTCTTTCTTCCTCCAGAGCACATCTACAAACTACAGACTGTTCTTCAAAAGTTTCAACCGCACGGCCTGGTGTCAGCACATCATGCACAACATCTGCTGGGTCTCATGGCCTCAACTACAGCATCCTTACCACATGCCAGGCTGAATATGCGCTCACTACAGGCTTGGTTTCTCCATCATTTCGACCCAATGTTAGAGGACCCGAGGAAGAAGATCCTAGTCACTCCAGAGCTGGCAAAACAACTCAGTGGTGGGGTTTCCAACCTCATCTGCTCATGGGCTGCCCCTTTCGGCCTCTGTAACTCTCTGCACAAGTAACAACAGATGCGAGGCCCACAAGCTGGGGAGCTCACTGCAGCGGTCATACCATACATGCCCTCTGGTCACATCGTCAAATACGTCTCCACATCAACCACCTGGAGATGCTAGCAATGATCAAGTCGTTCAGGGCCTTCCTGCTGCTGATACAGGGTCGTGGTGTGCAAGTTGTGACAGACAACACCACGACCTTGTACTACATCAACAAGCAGGGCAGGACAAGGTCCTTGTCCCTTCTCTACCTTGCAGTGCACCTGTGGGAGTGGTGTTGCCTCCATCATATTTACCCAGTGGCAATCCACATATCAACATCGGAGAAACAACTGGCAGATGAGCTGAGTCGCCGGAAGGGACAATCCCACGAGTGGGAACTGGATGACGATATATTCCAGATGCTGTGCAGAAGATGGGGACAGCCGACCATGAACAGGAAGTGCGAGAAGTATGCATCTCGAGCAGGCAGGGGCCCCATTTCCCAGGGAGATGCCTTCATGACACCATGGCAGGACCACCTTCTGTATCTGTTTCCACTGATCCTTCTGATCCAAAGGTCTCTAGTCAGGATCAGACAGCAGAGGTCGTCAGCAATCCTCATAGCACCATACTGGCCATGTCAATCATGGTTCTCTACTCTGGAGGAGTTGGCCACCGAGGTATTCAGACTTCCACTTGTGCCACATCT